CAGGCTTCTCTGTCCGGATCCTCCCTTTTTCTTCCCAGCCAGAGAAATTTGTTATCTGACTTCTGTCAAGGTCTCTTCTTCTCTTCCTCTCTGTCTCTTACAACAACAATTCTAATACCCAATTGAACATGATAGAATCCATCTTGAATACATATTTTAACCCATCTCGAATTACATATTAATCACATTGAAAAAACATACATGCATACCTTCAATAATTCTGACAGATGGTTCATAGGGGAGAATACTTTCGGACAGGTAAACTGGGCCGGAACCGTATAGGGTTTTATAGGTTAAAACCAGCACTTTGAATTGTGCTCGGAAGCTAATTGGCAGCCAGTGGAGCTGGCGCAACAAGGGAGTTGTACGCTCCCTATATCCCGCCCCTGTTAGTAACCTGGCTGCCAAGCGTTGGACTAATTGCAGCTTCCGGGCAGTCTTCATTTTCCAGGCTGTAATGTGAACCAAGGGCTTCAGGATGGCTGGAAGCTATTTTCTAGTGACTTGTGCATGTGTTTGTTTTGCCCTCAGGTGCAGACGCCGCCATCGCCATAAAAAATGGAGGACCGGTTCCAAGCCATGTCGGAGCAGCTCCTTGACCGCAATATCCTTTCACATCCGTTGCTAATGGATTCCTCTTTGTGTAAAGTAGTGAAGCCTGTATTGACCACTTTCCCACATATGGTTTGGTCCATAATAATAATATTTATTTTATTATTTATTTACAACATTTATGTGCCGCCCTTCTCACCCCGAAGGGGACTCAGAGCGGCTTACAAGGTATATATACATACAATATATTATTAACATAGTACAATATCAGTTTTAACTATTGCTATATTGCACTATATCAATTATACTGTAATATTATTAGTAATATTAAATGTAATATAAATATATAATTATAATATCATATTATTAGTAGTAGTATTATATTGCATTACATTACAATATTATAAATATTATATGTATATACAATATATTATATATTGTATTCTAACATATTATTAGAATAGCACAGGAAACAAGGTGGAACTGTCCCCTGGCCCCCGTTTCTTCACTCCGGCCCAGAGAGGCAGTTGGTGCTGGGGGGAGGGGTCCCCAACGGATGGCAAATGCAGGAGACAAGATGGTGCTGTCCCCTGGCCTCCCCTCTCTTCACTCCGGCCCAGAGAGGCAGTTGGTGCTTTCCCACATATGGTTCGGTCCATAATAATCATCATCATCATCATCACCTTTATTTATACCCTGCCACCATCTCCCCAATGGGGATTCGGGACTGCTAACATGAAGCCAAGCCCTTCTAAAAATACAATACAACACAGTAAAATGCAAAATACCAAACAAAACACATCAAAAAAATATAAATTGCAGTAACAAAATGAAATAGTAAAAATAAATTTACACAATATAAAATCGAATAGGATGGGCAGGCCAAATGGACAAGATAACTCTGTGTCCCGGAGTGTGCTGGAGGCTCCTTCTTTGGAAGCTTTTAAACAGAGGCTGGATGGCCATCTGTCAGGGGTGCTTTGAATGCAATATTCCTGTTTCTAGGCAGGGGGTTGGACTGGATGGCCCATGAGGTCTCTTCCAACTCTATGATTCTATAAAGTGATAAAACCCTGGGTGAGGTAGGAGTAGGAAATATTCAAATGAGGGGGCCAAGAAAATGAAACAGTGGCGTCAGGTTTTCAGTTTAGAATGGGTGGAAAACCTTTTTCTTCCTCATTTGTGCATAAAAGCAGCCGAGGAAGGCCTTTGGTGGAACTGTTTTTTGTTATCTGGATGGAGGCCAGAAGGGGGCACTAGAGAGAGATGAAGGAGAGTCCATTTTATAATAATAATAATAATAATAATAATAATAATAATAATAATAATAATAATAGCTTCAAACTGCATTAAATGGTCAGTGTGGATGACTAAATGTTTGGTAGCCATATAGCAGGCATCCTCAGACTATGGCCCTCCAGCTATTTAGGCATCCAACTCCCAGAAGCCCTAACAAGCTTGTTTATTTATTTATTTATTTATTTATTTATTTACTTTGCTTATATACCGCTGTTCTCAGCCCAGGGGCGACTCACAGCGGTGTACAACATAGGAAGAACAAAATTCAAAACACAGTATAAAAACAATTCACAATCCATTATGCAAAAACATTATACAAAAAGCATTATACAAAACATTGTCATTACTACGAAAACCATTCAGCGTCGTCTCATCGTTCAAACCACAATCCAATATCATTTTCCGTTATTCCATTCCTATAGTCAATTGTCCTTGTTCAATTGTCAGGAATTCTGGGAGTTGAAGGCCCAAACAGCTGGAGGGCTGCAGTTTAGGGATGCCTGCCATACAGGTTTAGGTACTCACAGGTAATTTGACATTTAAGTTGTGGCAGCCTAGAAGAGTTAGCATATTATTATTACTTACACTTTCCAAATTGGGCGCCGAGGCTTCATAACTGAGTCTAGATTTGGACTGCAATCTTTTTATGTTTCACGATTCTAGCCTGTTAGACAATGCATCAAAACATGGATTACTTTAAAAGCGGATTAGGTGGATTTATAGGGGATAAGGCAATTGTAATAAATGCTTAATAATGCTCCGATGTTTTGTAAATACAGTAAGACACTCCCTCACCCTTATCTGTGGGCCAGCTTCTGGGGTTTCAATTACCCACAGTCAGCTGCAGCCTAGAAATATTACTGAAAGTGGGAACAGAAATCTTCAACTGGAAGTATCTATTAAATTGTTGCAGGAATTGGGCTCCATTTCTGAGTAGCGTAATGAAACCTCTCCTTGCTTCGCTATATATGTTAGTTACCCAGTAGTTGCTAGCCATTTTGGTGATGAGGTTGACTGTTATCTGCCTCCTGCCATTTCAGCACTTTTAATCCCTTGTACCCAGTGCGCTGGCCGAACCAGTTTTAATAATGTCTTGATGTACTGCTATTGTTGTTATTTTGCTATTGTTTGATTTGTTCTGCTTTTGTGATGTCTGTTTCTATTATATTGTGTTTTGTGGCTTCGGCCTGTGTAAGCCGCATCGAGTCCTTCGGGAGATGCTAGCGGGGTACAAATAAAGTTAATAATAATAATAATAATAATAATTATCTTACATCAGCGCTTGTGTTGGAAGTAGCCCTTATTTCACTTAACAATGCCTCCAAAGCGCAGGGGTAGCGATGTTGCCTATCCGATCCAGCAGAAAAGGAGCCGCAAAGTGCTTACTTTAAGCGAGAAGGTCAAAGTTCTCGACTTAATCAGGAAGGAAAAGAAATCGTGCGCTGAGGTTGCCAAGATGTACAATAAGAACGAATCCTCTATCCGTGAAATTATGCGGAAGGAGAAGGAGATTCGGACGAGTGTTGCTGTCTTACCTCAGACCGCAAAAGTTACCTCCACACTGCGTGACAAGTACTTAGTAAAGACAGAAAAGGCCCTCAATTTATGGATCGAAGACATGAACCGGGAAGGGATTCCCATTGATGGCAATGTGTTACGCCAGAAAGCACTTAGCATATACAAAGACTTCAGCGGGGGTTCTCCCGAAAGGAGCGACAGCAAGCCATTTACTGCAAGCAAGGGATGGTTGCACAGATTCAGGAATCGGTTTGGGCTGAGAAATAGCAAAATTACGGCAGATGCAGCGTCTTTCAATGAAGAAGAAGCCGCCACGTTTCTGGCAGAGTTGAAGAAGTTGATTCAGGAGAAAGGATACCATCCAAAGCAAGTCTTCAGTTGCAATGAAACGGGGCTCTTTTGGAAGAAGATGCCCAACAGAACCTATATTCATCAGAGTTTAAAGGAGGCGCTGGGGAATAAAACGTGGAATGACAAATTAACCTTGGTGCTTTGCGGAAACACTGCGGGGCATATGATAAAACCCGGCGTGGTCTACAGGGTGAAGAACCCCCGCACGCTCAAAAACAAACATTATCTGCCCGTGTTTTGGCAACACAATAAGAAAGCATGCATTACGGACATTTTGTTCATAGAATGGTTCCACCAGTGCTTCATCCCAGAGGTGAAGAAGTACCTGCAAGAGGAAGGGCTGGAGTTTAAAGTCCTGTTAATTATAGACAGTTCACCCGGCCACCCCGAAACCATTTGCTTTGAGGATGAAGACGTCAAGGTAGTCTTCTTGCCTCCAAATACGAGCTCCTTGCTTCAGCCCCTGCAGCAGGGCATAATTCAGTTTGTCAAGGCCACGTACACCCGTCTTGTGTTCGACTGCATATTATCGGCCATCGACGCTGACCCGAATGTGGACATCATTCAGTGTTGGAAGTCCTTCAGCATCGACGATGCCATCACGTTCATCAAGGCTGCCATGGGAGAACTAAAACCAGAATGTGTGAACGCCTGTTGGAAAAACTTGTGGAGCGAAGTCGTGTATGATTTCAAAGACTTCCCAGAGATCGATGGAGATGGTCGGAAAATCATCACGGCAAAACAGGTCAAGGGAGAGGGATTTCCCAGTGGCCTCAATGAAGACGTGACAGAACTTGGCGAGCCCCATCAAAAAGCGTTAATGGATGAGAAATGGAGAGAACTTAGTCAGGCATGTACAGTGATGGAGGAGGAAGACGCTGAATCCGATGACTCGCCAAGGTGGACGTTGCAGAGATTTGCCGAAGTGTTTCAGATTGCACAGACGTTGACGGACAAAATTATGGAGTACGATCCATGCCTGGAACGCAGCACTAAAGTCCTCCGCTTGATCACAAAAGGGTTGCAGCCTCTGCAGCATCACTTTGATGAATTAAAAAGAAGACGAGAACGGCTTCATATTCCAGTCTCCTTCCAAAAGGTTTTGGTCAATGAACCTTCAGCTGTTGAGGATCCCCAGCCCTTGACATCATCTGCGTCGGACATCCAACCGTTGGCAACGCCGTGAGCCAGTGTTACAGAATCACAGGAAGGACATGATCCAGCTTCTGATGTATCATCAGAAGGACCGTCATAGCCAAACGCTTTGGCATTGTCAAGTCGGATGAGGCTAATATTGACCTTTGGGTGACTCAATGCCTGCATCCCATGAAGAACTTAGGGTTTGGTTTCAAGTATCCACTCAAATGTCTTGGAAATCATCCACTGAGGTTCCCTGGGGAGGGAGGGCTATTGTGCCTTATATCTATAAGACAATCACTGTCTATGGTGTTTCTTCTCCTATATGATATTTAACACATTTGACTGATGAAGAAGCCAGGGGAGCTTCGAAGCTTGTATGATGTATTCTATTCATATCTGATTGGCCCAATAAAGAGATCACTGTTTTGAGGATCCCAACTGTCTGTTCACAGTCATGGTAGATGCAAATCAAAATAGGAAAGGGAAGAAGTGGGAAACTAAGCATTGGAACAATTACTCTCAGCTGTAAAGAGGATTTTTTTTAAAGTAGGGAAGACAAAAGCAAGCTATGGCGTCTCTACGTGGCAAAGAGTCTTGCTTTTAGTTAGCCACTTTATGTCTCATTTTCAGAAAGATAAAGTGGGTTACTAGTGCTGCTGCTACTACTACCACTACCATTACACCTCTTTTTCCATTATCTCTGATGCCATGGATGCTGGATGAAGCCAGAATGTACTTGCCTTTAATTCTGTACTTCCTTCAGAAGAGAAACAGTTTTGTGATCTGTACTTGAGGCTTGTAAAAGAAACTGGTTCCTCTATCGTTAGAAACAAAATGCTAGAGTACAGTGCATTTTGGCCCGATCTTTGATGTTGATCTTATATTTTTCTTAATTGTTAGTTCTGTATTTCATCATCATCATGTATTTATTCATATTTATATAATTATTTAGAGCAACCCAAACTAGTGTATTCTGCCAGAGGTATGTAATCTAAAATATGTGTGCATATAGTCCAGGCATAGGCAAACTTGGGCTCTCCAGGAGGTTTGGACTTCAACTCCCACAATTCCTAACAGCCTCAGGTCCCTTTGGAAAGGAAAAGGCCTGAGGGTGTTAGGAATTGTGGGAGATGAAGTCCAAAACACCTTGAGAACCCAAGTTAACCCATGCTTGATACAAACACAGAGAAGGACAGACTCCTTCCTCTCCTGAGAGAAGTGCAGCTGGATTTCCATCACTTCTTTCTGTCGAGAAAGGAATTCCTTGCATTCAATTACTTCTTTTGGTGTAGGAAGGAGACGCAGCCCTTCTTTTGCAACAGAAGTGCCGCCGGGGTGTTGTTACTTGTCTTTGGTAGATTTTGAAAAAGCACTCACCAAATGTGTTGACCGTTGAAGGGGAGCAAAGAGACTCAATAAATCTGCCTTTAAGCTAGGTTTTGATCCTCTGCTTTGCTCTGGAGGGGTCACGACTTGCCGTGTTCTTTCCACATCTCTTTTTGAAGTTAAATTGTGTAGGAAACAGAGATCAGAAGGAGAAGAACTGACCAATGAACCCAGAGCAGGATTCAAGAGAAGCAAAAGAGGACATGCAAGAAGAGGTCAACAACCCTGCTCCTTGGATACCTTCAGAAAGCCCTGCAGAAGAACCTCAAGAACTTCCTTTGTGGTTATGGTAGTGATTATGTAGTGGAGGAAAAATTGGAAAGACCTTGTGTGAAGGATTACCAGGAGTCTCTAAGCAAGTTAATATGTTTAAGTGGGTACCACTTGGGATTTGTAGTTTATTGAAGTATTTAGAATTTCTTGCTGTGTTTGTGCTCTCTAGCAAAGGATCCCAACCAAAATACGAATCTCTGGACTCTATGGGATGCAGCTGTGGCAGTTAAAAGTGGAATCCTAATACTATAAAACAACAACAGCAACATTTTATTATGGTCCAAAGACCCTTATTGCACTGTAGGGTTACAAGGTATGCAGGTAATGAGATTAAGAACATCCAGTTGACTGAACACAGAAATGGATACAATTTACAACAGTTGAAAACTGCTTAAAATACATCTTCTTGGCTAAAAACATAGGTAAAGACTACAAGACACAGGCGTGTTTCAACCTGTGTCTAAAATTGGGAGTTGTCTAATTCTGGCTGCCTCAAAAAGAAACTTGGCAACCACCAAGGTCACATGGGGAAGGTTGTCACTAAGTAGAAATTTCACTGGACTTGCTGGTGAATTCCTTAGTAGGGGGTTGATTATGTGTGCTCGGGCCTGTTCATAGAAACTGCATGAACAGTAGAATGTGGTGGGTGCATTCTACTTCCTGTGTGTTACATGGGCAGAGTCTTTCATTATATGGGGTAGCTGCAAATCTCCCTGGCAGCAATTCCGCTGGGAGCACATTGCACCTTGCTGTGGGAAATAGGCAGCGGTACTTCGCCACAGTCAAGTTCTTTAGATAGTTTGCTGTATGGAAAGGCCCAACATAATGTATGGACAGGGCACTAGGGAAGCAAGATACATAAGAGCGAGAGCACAGTTCATAAAAGGCAATGTCCCACAATCTCTGAGTGATTTGAGAATCATGTCAAAACCCAGATGGGTTAGGAGAGATGCAGAAAGGCCGATGGAGGAGGCTTTCTTTAAATTGATCTTAAACCAACTGCTTATGTACTCATCCTGAGCTAAGTGATGCATACTAATACTATAAACTAGCAGGTGAAAGGTGTTGTGATAAGCGGATTTCAATACACAAACAATAAATTGCCCTCCTTTGCTGGGGTGAAAAGGCCCAATTAAATCTGCATGCATTAACTGAAAAGGCTTTTCTGAGTTCCTCGGGCTCTTTTTACTTTTATTGGGGCTGATTGGGCTTTGGTTTTCTTGCATACAGTGCAATCCAAAAAAAATGTTTAAATTCAGACCCTCATTGTACTCCTGCATTTTGTACAGAACTTTAAAACTTGGATGTCCCAAAATCCTGTGCAACTCATGAATGCACCCATGGTGTAAAGGAGTATTTTTGCTTATTATGTTGACATTATTTGCATCCCTTGGCTCTAACACATATATACCATCCTGTATTGTCCCTGTTCCATACAGTTTGTTCCCTTTCAGGGTTTTAACTTTGCCTCCTGAAAAAATACAATCAAACCCCTCACTATCAAGTTTCCCCACAGATATGAGATTATAACACTGTTCTACAAATTTTCAGTTTTTCTCAGTTACGGAAATGAAATGTACCATTTCTTAATAAATTTAACATTCTGAATTCAAATATAATAATTAAATGTGTTAATTGGCTCTGGTTTTTATGCAACAGCTATTTCAATTTTCTCCACAATAGGTAATTAGTTAATATTATGATAATGCGCCTAACCTTACAGCATGTATATAAACCATGAATATTTACTAAATTTTAGTCAAATTATGTTGCCAATAGTTTATACATGAGAAATATTTATTTAATTAATCTATTGTTTATGTTTCTGCAGCAAGAAACTATATTAGTAGGCCTAATGCAGTTGAAAAGTCTGAAAGTTTGAATGTCGCTTTAATCGTGACTTTAGTTTATATCCTGTTTGCTTCTCCTGACTTTTCTTTTGTATTCAAGGAAAGGATTGTCTCTTACAATGCTCCAGCAGTAGTCTGACAGCATTGACGGAGTCCATTTACCTTGATATCTTTTTTCCATAGTGCTTTATTTACACACGTGCGAGGCATAACTACAGTCAAAAGAACAATGTAAAACGATGTTTAACGATACTGTCTCAGTCTTCAACTGACTGACCCTCACCGTTCAAAAGTCTGGTCTTATATAGGACTTTCTGACTTTTGCACACGGCACTAATAATGCGTCATCAAACTTTCTAGAGTATTCTAGAATCTTCCATAGTGTGAGCCGCAACATGCATTTTTTCAACCATACGTGATCATGTGATTGCTTATATCATAAAAACTAGAGCCAATATACATTTTTAAATGTCATTTTCGTTTTCAGCACCCCAAAATCATAAAAGAACAACTATTTTCAGGCCTGAAACTTTTTCTCCGTTGAACAGTGTAATCAATTTGTGGAACAAAAAATACATTCTCTATGGTTTTGCCCAAACTATCAACAAAAACCTCTCCTTTTCCTTGAACAGAGTAATGCTTTCCATCAGCAAATGTCACATTTAAGCCATTAAGCTTATTAAATTTTAGAAATAAAGTCTTGTTATTCGTAATGTGTTGTGAACACCCCGAGTCAACGTAAAAAAAAGGTCCTTATGTTCCAGGCTTGTGTTTGTTTGTTCTACTCTTACGTGTGGGGATCCCCTCCTCTGATGCTGCTGCTTCCTCTTCTTCAAAACACCTCACAGCACAAACTGTCTCCCTTTCTTGCTCTGCTGATTCTCCAGCAGGCTGTGTTGAACACGCCCAGCTGTGGTTGTGGCCTCCTAACGCCGATCTCTTCATTGCTCCCAGTCTGCAAGCAGCCTTGAAGATATGTATTGCAGATTCAGCTGTCCATGTGGGAGTGACTCCAAAGAATTTACAATTCCATCAAAGGAATCTTCCATGGAAGATAACAAAATAAAACACTTATTTGCTTCACTGAGTTTGAAGTCTCTTTGCTCCAGCTCAACAAATAAGCTCTGTAATGTTTGTAAATGATCTTTCGGGTACTCCCCTCTCTGGAGACGCTTCCTGTACAGCCTTCTAGCTAGTACAGCCACAGTTGCTGCAGAGTTGAGACATGTATCTCCTTAAGCCATTGCCAGATGGCATGTATAGTGGGCAAACTGCAGACGTGGACCAACTGCTCGTCGTCCACCCCAAGGATAAGGGATGCCTTGGCCTTCTCCTGCTCTCTGCTCCTCTGCTGTTGGTTGTTGTGGTGGTGGATTCACAGTACAATCCCACAGAGATTCCATCCTCAGGTAACTCTCCATACGGAGCTTCCAATGGAGTAATTACTGCCACTCAATCTGGCAATTGGGAATGCTAACAAATTCACTCCTGGATCCATCTCCCAGAGTTTAATCCCACAACAAAAGGAAAGTCCAAAAAATAAATTTCCTCAATTATGTTCTTTGCAAAAATAGCACTAGATTGGGATAGACTGGGCTATGCTGGGCCCATAACCTGTTGCACTTAAGCGGGTTTCAGTCAGGTCCAGTGCAAAAGACACAATAAAATTGCACGCTAGGCTTGGGTAACAACGGAAAAAATTGTTTCTAAACTTGTTTCGTTTTTAGGGGTTCATCGCGTTTCGTTTTTTTAAAGAATTCTGAAATTTTCCTTTTAAAAATTTCAAAATTTACGAAATTTCTTATAATTACAAATCGATTCGTTAATGGCGGACACGATTGCGCAATATGCTAAAAAAAAAACTCCAAATGGGACAGGGGGAACTTCTGAAGCTTCCCTCTCCCTCTGTTGTTGACTGTTGGT